TTCAGCAGCACGCGGTGGGCCTCCCTCCATGTCTCGACGCCGCGGACCTCGGGCTGAGCGCCAGACCGCTGATACACTCGGCGATCCTTGAGCACCTCAGCACGGTGCGCGGGGGGGATGAGCGCCAGGTAGCCGAGCAGCAGGTCGCGGTCGGACTTGCCCATCCCAGCCAGCTCCATCTCCGCCACGATATTCTCGAACGTTGCCTGAAACTCCAGCGCGCTCATCTTGCCGCGCGAGAGCGTCCTCCACTCGGCGTTGAGCCGCTGCTGCTTCTCAAGCAAGCGCTCCTTGAACTCCATCAGCCGCTCCTTCAGGTTCTGGTACACCTCATCGGGGTCCGCCGCAAGCCTTCCCGAACGGCGCGCCTGCTTCAGCTCGACCTTGTAAGCCCGCTGCCGCGAGCCCTTCAGGCAGGTCCCCAGCACGCGCGCCATCTCGGTCGCCGACATGCCCGCGCCGTCGTTCGCCAAGCCAACCATCTCCTCGAACTCCTCCACGAACGAGTCCACGTCGAAGTCGCCGTCGCCCAACGTCGGCAGGCTATACTGCGGCTTCACCTGGATCGTGGACGACTTCTTGTCGGCCCGCCGCCCCAGCGCTCCTGCGAGGCCTTGCAGCGCCGCCGCCAAGCTGGGCTCCGCTGAACCCGCCTCGGCCGCCCCGCCTCTCGGAGGGAGCCCGGGCGGCAGGTCCTCGCCGAACAAGGGAAAGGCGGGCGTCACTGGAGCAGCGCCGACGTCTGCGGGACCAGCGGGAGGGGCTCGATCCTGAGGGGGCCGCGCCGAAACTCCGCCAGCCACCGCGTCTCGAGCACTGCCGCCGCCGCGCGCCACCGCGAGGAGGTCCATGATCGCCCGCACGTCCTCGTCGGCGTCGTCCGTCTCCACGTCCAGCACCGAGCGCAGCCTCGCCTCCAGCGCTGCCACCACGCCCTCACAGTGGGCCCGCGCCTCCACCAGGAAGCGGGCCTTCCTCATGCCGAACTCCACAGCGCCTTCCGACACCGCCTGCCGCCGCAGCGTCAGCACCGCTCGCGCCCGCAGCAGCCGCCGCTCGAAGTCGCGCATCGACTCGTGCGGCTCCACGTCCTTCAGCAGCCGCTCCAAGACCTCCCCGTCCGTGAGCGGCCCCCAGCTGCCGTCCGACAGCGCTCCCGTGGCATCGGAGCCCGCGTCGGACGCGCGAGCCGGCGAGTCCAGCAGCCTCAGGACGTCCTCCGCCGCCTGCGGCTGCGCAGCTGCCGGCGTCGCAGGGCTGCGAGCCGCGGCGGGCGCTTGCGTGCGCAGCCGCGCCTGCCAGTCCTGGCCGTGCAGCGCCTCCATCGTGCTCCGCCAGAGCGCGCTCTCGCTGGCCGCGATCGCTGGCGCCGTGCGGAGCCGGCGCCCTGGGCCGGCACGCCACTGCACCCAGGCGCCGAAGGCCAGCAGCGGCGGCTGCGCCGCGACGCCGTCGGCGATGGCCTCCAGCAGCGAGCCGTCGAAGCCAGCCACCTCCACGCCGGCGCCGGCCGCCGCCAACGGGGCCGCGGCCGCCTGCGTCGACGGCGCGCCAGCCTCCGCGCCCGCCTCGGCGTCGCCCGCCTCGGCGTCGCCCAGCTCCGCGCGAGGCGCCCGCTGGGGCGTCGTCATCGCCCGGGCTCGGGCCCGCTCGGGAAAGCGTTTCCCGGAGCAGCCCCCACGTGAGGCTCACCTGGAGCCTCGGCCCCTCTGGGCCTCCGGGAGCGGCCTCCCGGTGCCGCCCCCGAGCCCTCTGGGCCCTTGCGGGCCCTCGAACCCAGGCGGGCCCCCAAGCCTCCTCGCGCCTCGGAGGGGGGGAGGAGGAGGGGCCCTTTCTCCTCTTGAGCCACGCGGCCGCGCGAGGCAAGCAGCCGTCGCCGCCAGGGCCGTCACCGCCGCTGGCCTGCACACCGCCGCCTGTGCGCCGTCACCGATCCTCATACTACTGCTGCTACTACTGCTGATAGTATTACTACTACAAGTACTGTTACTACTACTACTACTACTACTACTACTACTACTACTACTACTACTACTACTACTACTACTACTACTACTACTACTACTACTGCTACTGTTACTGTTACTACTACTACTACTACTGCTACTACTACTACTACTACTACTACTACTCGTATCACTTCTACTACACATACTATTCCCCAATCAGTGCTTGTACTGACGGGGTCCTAGCAGAAGTTGAACGATTTGGCGAAAGTTCCCGCCGATTTTGGCAGCAGGCTGGGTTTCCAGGTTCCCGGTTCCAGGGCTCCCGGTTATTGGTTCCGGGCCGATTTCGGTGGGTTCTGGGTTCATGGGCTCCCAGGTTCCTGGTCGATCTCCTCAGCGAAAACCTTCCATTGATTTGGGTTTTTCTCTGGTGTACTTTCTATTTTTTTATTTCTTTTATTTGAATTTTTATTACTACTACTACTACTACTACTACTACTGTTACTACTACTACTACTACTACTACTACTACTACTACTACTACTACTACTACTACTACTACTACTACCACTACTACCACTACTACCACTACTACCACTACACTGCTATACAATCTACTTACTACTAATGCTACTGCTACCTGCTACTGCTACTCACTAATACTACTACGACTACTACTACTACTACTACTACTACTACTAGAACTATTATTCTCTTGCAAACAGGGTTGTGGTGGTAGAGGCGAGGGGTCTAGAGCTCCGGCACCATTATTTCGGCGTCGTCGTCGCTCCCCCCAGCTGCCTTGTGCCTTTCATGTGTCGCTTATGGTCGCTGTGTGCCTTGTGTCCTTCATGTGCCGCTATAGTGTCGCTGTGTGTAGCTATGGGATCTCCATGTGTGCGTCGCTATGTGTCGCTGTGTGCCGCTATGCGTCGATATGTGTGTGTGTCGATATATGTCTCTATATGTCGATATGTGCCGACATGTGTCGCTATGTGTCGCTCCCCAGCACCCCAGCGCACCGCCCCCTCCGCCCCGACGACTTTATTTCGGCGTCGTCGTCGCCCCCACCCCCCCTCTCCTTCTCCTCAGCAGCTCAGCGCGCTGCCACCTCCGCCCCGACCATTTTATTTCGGCGTCGTCGTCGACATTGCGTCGCTATGTGTCGCTCCCCAGCCACCCCAGCGCACCGCCCCCTCCGCACCGACGACTTATTTCGGAGTCGTCGTCGCCCCACCCCCCCCCCCCCTATCCCTCTCCTCAGCAGCCAGCTCGTCTGCCCCCTCCGCCCCGGACACTGTATTTCGGCGTTGTTCTGCCTGTGTCGTCAGCTAGCGCGCTTCCCCAGCACCCCAGCGCACCGCGCCCTGCCGCCCGACGACTTTGTTTCGGCGTCGTCGTCGCCCCCACCCCCCTTACCTCTCCTCAGCAAGCCAGGAGCGCTGCCCCTCCGCCCGACAAATTCAATTTCGGTAGTTCGTCGCCCACCCCCCACCGGTCCTTTTCCCCCGCAGCCCAGCGCACCGCCCTCTCCGCCCCGACCACTTTATTTCGGCGTCGTCGTCGCCCTATTTCGGCGTTGTGTCGACATGCGTCGCTTTCCCCAGCAGCCCAGCGCACCGCCCTCTCCGCCCCGACGACTTTATTTCGGCGTCGTCGTCGCCCTATTTCGGCGTTGTGTCGACATGTGTCGCTACGCGTCGCTCCCCAGCACCCCGGCGCACCGCCCCCTCCGCCCCGACGACTTTATTTCGGCGTCGTCTGTGGATGAGATCCCATTGCGAACGCCGCCGCTCGTGCCGGCAGGGGAGAGACACTGTGTGGCAGCATCCTTGTTTCTGACACATCAGGCTGAGACACTGTGTGGCGGCATCCTTGTTTCTGACATATCAGAATAGAGTCAGAGTGAGTGATTGTACGCATGTATAGCAGGTGTGATAACATGTTGTGTTTTTTTCCCCCCTGTTGCCGCCCTCAGGCCTCAAGGGGGGGGGGCACGATTTGTCCGCCTCAGTGTGCCCGGAGTCGAAACTGTGTATGTGACTCGGGGCGGAAATTCGGGCAGTTATTACTTGTTTCAATAATTCGGGATGCACTTCTGTGCACAAAGGTCTTGCACTTGCCGGTCTGGTGGCGCCTTCTGGCGGCTCACCGCGGCAGTGCGGGCCCCAGGCTGTGGCCTTGCCGTGTGCTGGTTCCGGGGTGCCGTGATCGTCCCACTTCTGCCTCGTGGCCGCCGGCCTGGTGGCGCCATTCGGCGCTCACCGCGGCGCGCCTCGGTTGCGAGTGCTCTGGGGAGTGTTGCGTCTCTGTGCCCAAGCCGACTTGTCGGACCGATTTCCGCCGGGCTGGTGGCGCCTTTTTTTTTTTTTTTTTTTTTTTTGTTTTTTTTTTTTTTTTTGTTTTTTTTTTTTTCTTTTTTTTTTTTTTCGGGCGGCTTTTTTTTTTTTTTTTTTTTTCTATTTTTTTTTTTTTTTTTTTTTTTTGTTTTTAGTTTTTTTTTATTTTTGTCTTTTTTTTTTTTTTCTTTTTTTGTCTTTTTTTTTTTTTTTTCACCACGGCGCGTGTGTATAGGATCTTGCAGAAACCAGTTATCCCACTAAGTGGGATAGAAGACGTGTGCACACTTGCGCATAATGTAGAGCGTGAAGGGGAACCGAGCTGTTAGACAAAAGTGTTTGACACTGCTCTCCGTTCCGATGCAACTTTGGCTCAAGCCCAAACGGGTTTGTAGCCTAACCAGGTTGAACTGCCAGTATCTTCTGTGATCCACGTGCCGGTGCATGGGAAAAAAGGCCAAGTGGCGACCTCGGACCAAACGGGCCGGGGAGCAAGTCAGAGCTAGAACCCAGTACTACACGGAGGTCCAGGGGACCGAGCAACAAACCATAACGAGCGAGGCCAACGTAGAGGCCAACGGGAACCAGAATACCGAGCAAGAGCTAGGGCGGTTGGAACAACAGACACTTGTCTTTTCCACAGTTAAGAGCCTTGCTTTCAACCACAATGGCGTATCGACCAACGTTGATTCCACTGGCAGGCCCGCCGGGGATGGACCCGGTGGCTGGTCCGCCGAGTCCGGGCCGTCAGGAGCAGCAGGGAGCAGCGGACCGTAGCCGGTCCCCCCACATCCCGATCGCGGACGAGGCGGCCGACTTGAGCGCCGACTTCGCCCGGGAGCTGAGCAGGATCATCGAGAACGTCGACGAGGAGAGGATCCACGAGAGGATGGAGGAGTTCGAAGTGGAAGCAAGACGCAGTCGTTGGGAGGCAGAGGAGACAGTTGCACGACGACTGCGAGAGCGTTACGCAGCCGAGGCGGTTGTCGAGAGCAGCGTGAGGGACGAGGCAATTCAGGCGGCGGAGCACAGCGCGAGACACGGGATGCAGGCGATCCGGGCCGAGGCGCAAGAGCGCGAACGGCTAAGGGACCAGCAGCTCTTCGCGGAGCTCCGCCAGCGCGTCGAGATCGTAGAGCACGAGGCGGCCCAGAACCAGGATGTTCGATGGAGGCAGGTGGTCGAGGGCATTGCGGAAGAATGCCGCGACCGCTGCCGAGCAGAGCTTCACGGTGAACTCGGCGTACAACAGCAGCAGTTCCTCTTGACCGAGGAAGGGGTCGAGCGGCAGGTCGCCGCGAGGTTCCGCGAGCTCGAGGCGAACGCCGAGCGCCGCGTGCGCTTGACCGAAGAGGGCTTGCGAAACGAGTGCGTCCACCTCGAAGGGCGCAATGACGTGCTGGAGCTGCGCGCCCACACCCGCGCGGCTGAGGCCGCCCGCGTGCAGGCCGTCGCCACGGCCCGCCAGCAGATCGCTGTGGAGGCGCGGGAGAAGCTGTTCCTCGACGAGCAGTCTGTCTTCGAGGAGCGGATCGACATGCTGCGAGAGCATGTCCACGAGGAGTCCGAGGAGGCGGCGGTGTGGCGATGGCAGAGCGACTCCACCCACGAGCAGCTTCAGGAGAGCAACAGGTACTCTGAGGTGTTCAGCACGGAGGCCAATGAGTACATCCAGAAGTTGGGGAACGAGATCAGCGACGCCTTCCAGCGCTGCGCGGAGGCGACCGCCAGGGCAACGAGGACAGAGGCACTGGCGGAAAGTGAGATGCGGAAGGTGGCCGAGGTCAGGCGGGAGCTGGCTGTGGCTCAGAGATCCGCGCAGCACGTCGGGATGACGCCGGCGCCACCGCCGCGTGCGCCGATCACCATGCTGCCCCCGCTCGCCAAGAGAGTCGTCAACCCGTTGACGTCTTCGGGATTCCGTATCGGGGACGCGGCGAATCGTAGTCGCGTAGACCCTACGGCAACAGCTCCGCTGGCCGCCGCACCGGCGATGCCGTCAGCAGCGTCGCAGGGCACGGTGCCAAGTTCAGGCATCGGGGCGAGCCCGCCAGCGCAGCACTGCATTGCCAGCAGCGACAGCGAGGACGAGGACGAGGCCTTCATGCGCCGCCGCACGACGGTGAAGGAGATGAAGATCGACCCCCTCACGAGTGCAGCTGGTCTCCGGAAGTGGACCAACGCTTTGATGACAGAGTGTTGCCGTGTTTCGAATCGCTCAAAGGTCAGGGCGATGAAGTACGTGAAGAGCGCGTTCGAGGCCGGCCGCGTCGAGGACGTCGAGTACATCCCCAAGAAATGGGACCTCTTCGACACGGAGCTCTGCTCTGCGCTGAAGTCCGGCGCTTCCGGCGCCATAGACCGCCAGCTGACGCTCTACCAGGAGAAGAACGCGCGCCTCGGCACGCCCACGTCCGGCAGGGCGGTCCTCTACATGATCCTCCGGCGCTTTGAGCTCGACCACGGCAAGGCGCACCGCGTCCACCTCACGGCGCTCAACGCCTTGAAGTACAATGGGGATCTCGAGGTGTATTTGGACGCCCTGGACGCCAGGCTCGCCCTAATGACAGTCGAGCCGGACGAGGCGCTGCTACTCGCGATCGTCGAGCCTGAGCTCCGGAAGGTTCCAGACCTCGCTTTCGAGTTTGCTCAGTTCGACCGCGCCCTCGACGACGCCCCGGAGAAGACGCTGGAGTTCTTGTATGATTCGGCCAGGAGGGCGTGCGCGAGAGCTACGCAGAACAAAACCGTCGACGCCCTGACCCCGACGCCGAAGCAGGTGAAGCAGGTCAGGCAGGCGACCCCGAAGGGGAAGGCCAAGGCCGCGGCCAGGGAGCCAGCCAAGCTTGTACCTGAACACCCACAGGTCGCCTGCGGATTTTGGAGGTCCGGGAGTTGCAAGTTCGGCGACAATTGCAAGCACGTCCACTGGAAGGACAGCGTTCACACGCCTACCGCGGCCTGGCCAGCAGGGACCGCGGTCACCCTCGGGCGGCAGCCCGGCGACAGGTGCAAGTTTTTCGCCGACGGCAAGTGTTCCCACGGGGACAAGTGCATCTACAAGCACGGCGACGGCGACAAGCGGGACCTCGCGGCGGTCTTGAAGGCGAAGCGCGAGGCTGACGCCAAGCAGAAGGGCAAGGGCGGCGGCAAGAAGCTGCACCTCTGCTCGTCGGAGAGCCTGTGGGGGACCTCCGATAAGTGGGTGTTGGACACCGCGGCCAGCTTCGACGCCTCGGGGAAGGGCCTCCAGGGGGCTCACAAGGATCTCCACGACCAGGTCGCGGTCGAGACCGGCGGAGGCAACGTCCACTGCGATCGCGCCGTCGTCACGCACCTCAGCGAGATCGGCGAGGACGTGGAGGCAACCGTGCTGGAGGATGCGGACGAGACGGTCCGAGTGCTGACAGTTGGGCGCCGCTGTGCCCAGTTGGGCTTCGAGTTCACCTGGAAGCCTTTCGCTCCTGCTCCGGACGTTTTCCGGCCTGATGGCCGGCGCGTCGACGTGAAGGTCGACCCCGATTTCGTGCCGTACGTCGAGTCGCAGCCCAAGCCCCGCAGGGACCCATCTGCAGGCAAGCGGCTGCTGGTCAACGTCGCTGTGGTCGACGACGACGCGCTGATCGACGACGTCCTGCCTCTGGAGGCGGATCCGCCCCAAGACGACGACGTGGATCAGGAGGCGGACGAGCACGAGGAGGACGAGAAGGACGTGGAGCAGGAGGGCGGGGAGGAGATCTCGCAGATCGGCATTGTTGACGAGGCCGTGGAACCTGGGCAAGACGACGCTGCTAGGCACGTTGCCCGGGTGCTGGAGGGAGGCATCACGAGCTACGACGGCGACCTGATGCAGGACGACAAAATCTTCCTCCGGATCCAGCTTGAGGACTCCGTCGACGACATCGTGCTGCCCTGCGACACGTCGCGCCTCACGAAGGAGCACCTCACGTTGCACCAGCCGGCCATGCCGAAGTACTGTCCCGGGTGCCGGGGAGGCAAGCACGCCAAGTGGCCTTCGCGGCGACGCCCGGTCAGCGGCGTGTGCGTTCGCTGCGCCGACGCGGACGAGAGGCCGTTCGGCGCGTGCGTGCACTTGGACCACATCGTCATGCAGCCGGGCTCGGAGGCCCCCCGATCGGCGAAGTACAGCTTGAACATGCTCGACCTGCGTACGAAGTTCGCCGGAGTCTTTCCGGCGAGCTCCAGGGACGCCGACACCATCGTCGAGGCCCACCACACCTTCGACAACGCTGTGCCTGAGATCCGCCGCTGGTGGAGCGACAATGCCCCCGAACTTGCGGCTGCGAGCCGCAGGATCCGCAGGATGCGGCCGTTCGCGCACTATCGGAGCATCCCACGTGCGCCGCAGAGCAACGGAGTCATCGAGCGATTCAACCGCACTGTGGTCGAGGGGGCCCGGGCTTTGCTCCTCATGGCCGCCTTTCCGGCGTCGTGGTGGGTGTGCGCGATCTGTTATTGGTGCATGCAGTATAACGGCCACTGCAGGGGGGCGGACGGGTTCACTCCGTACGAGCGCCGCTACACGACGTCCGCCGAGTACGAGCAGTACCCGTTCGGAGCGCTAGTATTCGTCGCTGCTGCCCGGCGCGCCGGGGCCAAACCTTCGAAATGGAGCCCCAGGATGGTGCCGCATGTGCTGGTCGGCATCGGCTGCGGGCCAGGCTTCGCGTGGAACCGGACGTACGGCGTCGTCAAGCTAGAGCACCTCCTCAACAGCGACCGGCCGTCCCGAGCAGGCATCAGGTACTCCGCGGAGGTCGACTTCCCAGACCGCATCATATTCCCCATCCGCCAGCGCCTCAAGCTCGCCGGAGCATCCAAGGATGCGAGCTTCCCAGCGCCAGCAGTGACTGGCGACAACGAGTCGTGGGCGTTGCAGCTGTCCGAGGTGAGCGAGGAGCCGGGCGACGAGGCCTACGACGGGGCCATGGAGGAGAACGCCCCGAAGCTGGAGCCCGGCAACTTCGTCGAGTCCGTCGTGCTGGACCCCGAGGACTCGCAGGCGGCGGACGACCCGGAGCCAGAGGAGGAGGTGGTCGAGAGGAACGGCGGCGAGCAGGCCGCCACCGAACACGAGCCTAAGGACGAGCCTGCCGAGCTCGGCCGTGCGGAGTTGGAGGTTGAGGGGAATCGTGCGCCCAAGGGCTGGAGGATTGACACCTTCCCGCACGGGCACCATACGAGGACGATTTCGGTTCCGCCCTGGAGCCGGAGGCCGCCCACGGTCCTCCCCGAGGCATGGCTCATGTTCAAGAAATCTCACCAGGAGAAGTTGCGCCAGGAGTGGAAGGAGAAGGGTCCCGTGGGCTTCGCCGCTCAAGAAGCTCGGAAGGCGGCATATGAACATGCCAAGCGGACCAGGGGGAGCCTCCCGGCAAGTGCCGTGGACGCTGCACGCGAGGACGCTCGTGGACCCCCGGCTCCTGAAGTACCGGCTGTGGCCCAGCTCATGTACGTGGGCAGGGATCGGCCGAGCGCGACGCCCGAGAACGAGGCCGCGCAAGTTCAAGATGTTCCTGCTGCTGCGACGGCCGGCGCGGTGGCCACGCGTCTGAGCCAATCTGGACTGCAGGGCGACATCTTGCGGACCGCTCGCACGAAAATACAGAGCGGGCAGTTCAAGGTTGTTGTGGTGGATATATCTACGGAGGAGGATTCGAATATCGCGGAGCTCATGCCGCAGCACGCCCTGACCGTCAGAGTCACGGAGGGCGACGAGCTGTGCAGGAAGGAGACCATCAGGGCGCTGCACGGCATCGTCCGGGCTTGCAGCCAGCTTGGCATTCCGCTGCACGTCTGGGTCAGCACGGTGCGCACGCCAGGCGAACTCCCAGACCGCCCTGTTGTGGTCGCTGTTGGCCTTTGCCGCCACGTCGTCAAGCAGGGGGGCTACATCTACTGGGGGTGGCCGCCGACGTCCTCCGTGTGGTTGCGCACCGACGTGCGGCAGCTGCTAGAGTACGCTGGATCTGATCCTCGTGACGTCTCGATGGCTAGCCTCAGCGAGTCTGCCGTGGAGGGCCAGAGCGAAGACCCCATCAAGCGCCGCACGAACGACCTCCTGCGTGTGTTCACGAACAGCGCGGGGCTCCTTAAGTTGCTCGAGCCGCACGCCCAGGTGCCGGAGATGCCGCTGGAGTCGATCGACGGCTGTCGCGACGAAAGTGTGGACCTCCGAGGGCCATGCTCCCAGGAGCTCGCACGTCTGATCTGGCAGTCCATCTTGCCCATCGCCGGGGGCCACGCCGACCACGACGACATCGCGCAGAACGACGTCGGCAGGAAGACGCCTAAGTGGTCCGTGCTGGTCACCCGGAAGGTCCCGCTGAAGTCGGAGGAAGCAAAGTCGGCCAAGGCACGGGCTGCCATAGACAAGGAGCTCTCTGGGCACCGTGCCCGGAAAACCTGGGATGAGTCCACGGTGAGGGAATACAAGGACCTCATGCTCGACAACTCGAAGGCCGAGGTCATGACGGGCCGCATCTTCGGGATCTTGGGCGAGACCAACGCCGAAGCGGAGCATGAGGAGGATAGGAGGATGAAATTTCGTGCAGTGTTCCAGGGATCGAACATCAGAACTAAAGCGGGGACGGCGGCGGTGAACTTGTACGAGGAGGTGAGCAACAGCCCGGCGTCTTTCGTCGCCATTCGGTGCACCATGGCGGTGGCTATCCTGAAGCGCCTCAGCATCACGGTACGGGACGCGCTGCAAGCCTAGCTCCAGGCTCGCATCAACGTGGACGGCAGGATCGAGACGTGGGTTGAGATACCCAGGGAGTGGTGGCCCGACTCGTGGTTCGAGGGGGGTGACAGGAGCAAGCCACTATACGTTCGGCCCGTGTGCCTGCTCCTCCTAGCCTTGTACGGGCACCCGGAGGCAGGAGCCCTGTGGGAGAAGAAGCTCACCCAGGTATTGCTCGGACTCGGATGGCATTCGGTGCCCTCTTGGCCGGGCGCGTTCGTCCATGCCGACGGGAGCATGCTGACCGTCTACGTCGACGACCTGCTCCTGGCGGCTCTGGGGTGCAAGGCCGACGCCCACTGGGAGGCGCTGTGCAAGCGCATCGAGTTCAAGGACGAGCCGGCGCCGGTGAACAAGTTCATTGGTGCGTACTACGCCCTCGACCCTTTCGATCCGAAGCTCCCCGATGCGCCTCGCACAGTCACGACGTCGATGATCGATTACACCAGGGCGATGGTAGAGCGCTTCTGCACCGACGCCGGCCTCAGGATCACCAGGCCCGTGGACACGCCGTACATCTCAGCCGAGTCCTGGGCGCAGGACTCCGAGGAGGCAGGGAGGTTTGCAGACGTCGCGGCGTCGCACTCTGCCTCGTCTCTCTTCTTGTGCCGTGTTGGGCGGCCCGACCTGGCTGCAGCCACGCAGCGTCTGTGTAGCGGAGTGTCGCGCTGGACCACTGTCCACGACCTAGCGTTCATCCGTGTCATGACGTATGCTGCTTGCACCTCCACGCACGTCCTCAAGGGCACGCTTGCCCCGGCCGACGTGGACGATCTGTTGCTGCTGACGTACTCTGACGCCGATTGGAACGGCGACCCGATGACCAGCAAGTCCGTGACCGGATGGTGGATTGAGCTGTTCTCGCCGGCCTCTGGCCGTAGCTTCCCATTGTCTTGGGGATGTTCGCAGCAGTCGTCTACTGGAGGATCCACCGCGGAGACTGAGACAGTCGCATTCTCCCATGTCGTGCGGCGCGAGGCCATACCTATCCAGATGCTCCTGGACGAGGTCCTCCCACGCAGGATTGGGATAGCGTGCAGGGTCGACAACATGCAGACGATCCAAGCCGTGACCAAAGGATATTCGAAGCGGCTGCGCCACCTGCCGCGCACGCAGCGCGTCTGCGTCGGCATGCTGCACGAGATGTTGAACGACCGGGGCCTCCAGCTGAGCATAGAGCACTGCCCCACCTTGCAGATGAAGGCCGACCTCTTCACCAAGGTCCTGAATGGCCCGAAGTTCCGAGCAGCGCTGGAGATGATCCACATGATGCCACAGGCTTGACTTCTGCGGCAGCGGTGCCAGCAGTCGCTCGGCGAGGGGTGTGTGGATGAGATCCCATTGCGAACGCCGCCGCTCGTGCCGGCAGGGGAGAGACACTGTGTGGCAGCATCCTTGTTTCTGACACATCAGGCTGAGACACTGTGTGGCGGCATCCTTGTTTCTGACATATCAGAATAGAGTCAGAGTGAGTGATTGTACGCATGTCTAGCAGGTGTGATAACATGTTGTGTTTTTTCCTCCCTGTTGCCGCCCTGAGGCCTCAAGGGGGGGGGCACGATTTGTCCGCCTCAGTGTGCCCGGAGTCGAAACTGTGTATGTGACTCGAGGCGGAAATTCGGGCAGTTATTACTTGTCTCAATAATTCGGGATGCACTTCTGTGCACAAAGGTCTTGCACTTGCTGGTCTGGTGGCGCCTTCTGGCGGCTCACCGCGGCAGTGCGGGCCCCAGGCTGTGGCCTTGCCGTGTGCTGGTTCCGGGGTGCCGTGATCGTCCCACTTCTGCCTCGTGGCCGCCGGCCTGGTGGCGCCATTCGGCGCTCACCGCGGCGCGCCTCGGTTGCGAGTGCTCTGGGGAGTGTTGCGTCTCTGTGCCCAAGCCGACTTGTCGGACCGATTTCCGCCGGGCTGGTGGCGCCTTCGGGCGGCTCACCGCGGCGCGTGTGTATAGGATCTTGCAGAAACCAGTTATCCCACTAAGTGGGATAGAAGACGTGTGCACACTTGCGCATAATGTAGAGCGTGAAGGGGAACCGAGCTGTTAGACAAAAGTGTTTGACACTGCTCTCCGTTCCGATGCAACTTTGGCTCAAGCCCAAACGGGTTTGTAGCCTAACCAGGTTGAACTGCCAGTATCTTCTGTGATCCACGTGCCGGTGCATGGGAAAAAAGGCCAAGTGGCGACCTCGGACCAAACGGGCCGGGGAGCAAGTCAGAGCTAGAACCCAGTACTACACGGAGGTCCAGGAGACCGAGCAACAAGCCATAACGAGCGAGGCCAACGTAGAGGCCAACGGGGGCCAGAATACCGAGCAAGAGCTAGGGCGGTTGGAACAACAGACACTTGTCTTTTCCACAGTCGTCGTCGCCCCCCCCCCCTCTCCCTCTCCTCAGCAGCCCAGCGCGCTGCCCCCTCCGCCCCGACAGTTCAATTTCGGCGTCGTCGTCGCCCCCCCCCCCCCCTGTCCTTTTCCCCCGCAGCCCAGCGCGCCCCTCACCGCCCCGACGACTTTATTTCGGCGTCGTCGTCGCCCCCCCCCCCCCCCCTCCACACCCCCCTCTCCCGAGCAGCCCAGCGCGCCGCCCCCTTCGCCCCGACCACTTTATTTCGGCGTCGTCGTCGCCCCCCCCCCCTTCCTTCCCCAGCAGCCCAGCCCAGCGCACCGCCCCCTCCGCCCCGACCATGTTATTCTCTTGCACAGGGTGTCTAGAGCTCCGACCATTTTATTTCGCGTCGCTACCCCCCCCCGTGTCCTCAGCGCCAGAGTGGGGCCCCCACGCCGTGGCTCTCTGCCCCAAGCCCCCCCGCGTCCCCAGCGCCCCAGCGGGGGCCCCGCCCACTGCCCCCTCCGCCACGAACGCTTTATCCCGCGTCGCCCCCCCCCGCCCCCCCGCGCCCCCAGCGCCAGTGTGAGGCCCCCGCGCCGTGGCTTTCCGCCCCGAGCCCGCCGCGTCCCCAGCGCCCCAGCGGGGGCCACGCCCACTGCCCCCTCCGCCACGAACGCTTTATCCCGCGTCGCACCTCCCCCCCCCGCCCCCGCGTCCCCAGCGCCAGCGTGGGGCCCCCGCGCCGTGGCTGTTTGCCCCAAGCCCCACCGCGCCCCCAGCGCCCCAGCGGGGCCCCCGCCCACTGCCCCCTCCGACACGAACGCTGCATTACGCGTCGCACCCCCCCCCCCGCGCCCCCAGCGCCAGAGTGGGACCCCCGCGCCGTGGTTCTCCGCCCCGAGCCCCCCCGCGTCCCCAGCGCCCCAGCGGGGGCCACGCCCACTGCCCCTTCCGCCACTAACGCTTCATCCCGCGTCGCGCCGCACACCACCTCCCCTACCTCCCTCCCCGCGTCCCCAGCGCCCCAGTGGGGGCTCCGCCCCGTGCCCCCTCCGCCCCGACAATTTTATTCCGCGTCGCGACGCACGCCACCTCCCACCTTCCCCCCCTTTCCCCAGCGCCCCAGTTGGACCCCCGCCCCGTGGCCCTCTGCCCCAAGCCCCGCCCAGTGCCCCCTCCGCCCCGACAGTTTATTCCGCGTCGCGGCACACACCACCACCCCTCCTCTCCGCGCCCCCAGCGCCCCAGTGGGACCTCCGCCCCGTGCTCCCTCCGCTCCGAGCACTTTATTCCGCGTCGCGACGCACGCCGCCTCCCCCACCCTCCCCACCTGGGACTTGGGCCCCGTTGCTGGGCCCAGAGGGCGATGCCTTGCCCCCTCTTCCCCCCTCCTCCTCCTCCACCTCCTCCTCCTCCTCCTCCTCCTCCTCCTCCTCCTCCTCCTCCTCCTCCTCCTCCTCCCCCTCCCCCTCCCCCTCCCCCTTTCTTTTTTGTGCAAGGGCCATGGCACGCGTGCCACTTGTTGGTGGGCCCCCTGGTGCACGCCCCCCTCGCCGCGCCTAGGCCGCAGCCACATTTTCATCATTTTCGTGAGGAAGTCTCAGGCAAAACGGGGGAGTCCGGATCCGGTTGTTTTGTTGACGCCCGCTTTCCCTGTCAAAAAACAATATAAAATGACATGTCTTGTTCTAACATAACCAAGCTTCAAGAATCCTTTGTAAAAAATGGCACGAAGTGCACACTCGCGCGCGCAAGATGAAATCCTACCAAAACCTTAGTTTTCGTAGCGATTTTAACATAAAAACATGAAAAACCCAATGGTTTTTCAAAAAAAAGTTTCAAAAATTCATCCCGCGCGCTCTTGCGGATTTCTTAGGAAACCCAATACTTTTTCAACATTTCTGTCAAACGGGCTCTTGCGAGCAACTTTTTCACGTGCTTCGAACTTCTGCAACAACGGTTGCGCGCCTGCCAGGGCCATCATCCCTGTCAAATAATACCATATGGGACACATTCGTTTTTTCTTCGCGCGCGCACGCCGAAATCTTCAATTGCAGGGGGAAAAGTCGTATACTAAGCTAGCTTACAGAAAATGTTACCACAACAAGTCATTGTACCCATGCGCCAGTGTAGTAGCCAAGGTCGTCCGCAGGCCACGAAGTGAGGTGTCCGAACGTCATAGGGCGGGAAGCTGGGTGTGGGTGGTGGCGAAGAGTCGTTTGGAAATTTGGTAGAGCTTGAACCGGCCCCCCCACAAAGTGGGGGTATTGCCCGCCTCCTATGAAAACCCTGGCACTGGTGAGAACGGAGTGTCCCCACGTGCTAGTAATTGTTGTTGTTGTTGAACATTATTTATTCTAAAGAATAATTATTGTTGGGCCCCCTGGTGCGCGCCCCCCCTGCGCCGCCTAGGCCGCAGCTACATTTTCATCATTTTCGTGAGGAAGCCTCAGAAAAGAGGGTGTGTACAGGATCCGGTTGTTTTGTTGTAATCCGCTTTCCCTTGCAAAAAACAATAGAAAATGACATTTCTTGTTCTAATATAATCAAATTTCAAGAATCCCTTGCAAAAAATAAGGTAAAGTGGACATTCGCGCGCGCAAGACGAAATCCTTCCAAAACCTTAGTGTTCGCAGCGATTTTAACATAAAAACATCAAAAAACCAATGGTTTTTCAACAAAAAACTGTCAAAATCTCATCCCGCGCGCTCTTGCGGATTCGTAGGAAACCCAACACTTTTTAAACATTTCTGTCAAACGGGCTTTTGCGAGCAACTTTTTCGAACTTCTGCGACAACGGTTGCGCACCTGCCAGGGCCATCATCCCTGTCAAATAATACCATGCGGGACACATTCGTTTTTTCTTCGCGCGCGCACGCCGAAATCTCCAAAAACCATTGGGCTTCTTAAGAATTTTAGCACCGCGCATCATAAAATCACACGAATCGCACCGTAGGTCCTCGAAAAACACCTGCACGACTTTTCAAAATTTCTACCCGCGCGCGCTGTCCGAATCCTAAAAAAAAACCAATGGTTTTCCAACATTTATGTTACATGAGCTCGCGCGAGCTACTTTCGCACGCTCTTGCAACGGGGTTCGCGCGCCTGCCAGGGGCCACAATCCCTTGCGGTTGCGCCATAGGTTGCGCCCTCGGCCGCCGAGAATAAAACGTCCCCCTATTGGTTGCGCCATAGGTTGCGCCCTCGGCCGCCGAGAATAAAACGCCCCCCTACTGGTTGCGCCATAGGTTGCCCCAGGAGGCCTTCAAGAGGCCCCAAGAGCCCGCCGTGAGGACCCAATAAGCCCCCAAGAGGCCCCAAGATGCTTCCAAGAAGCCCCCCAAAGCCCCTCAAGAGGACCCCAAGCGGCGCCAGGAGGCTTCCCCCCTTCCCCAAGAGGACCCCAAGCGGCCCCAGGAAGCCTCCGACTGATCACTGGCACATCCGTAGCCATCTCGGATCAAAGTATCGCCTGTGTTCTTGGATGGTCCGTGGCCAGTGTAGTAGCCACGGTCGTCCGCAGGCCACGAAGTGAAGTGTCCGAACGTCATAGGGCGGGAAGCTGGGTGTGGGTGGTGGCGAAGAGTCGTGTGGATATTTGGTAGAGCTTGCACTGCCCCCCCACAAAGTGGGGGTATTGGCTGGCGTCGCATGAAAACCCTGGCACTGGTGAGAACACTGAGCGTTCGGGTAAAGTGATTGTTGTTGTTGTTGAACATTATTAATTCTAAAGAATAATTATTGTTGGGGCCCCTGGTGCACGGCCCCCCTGCGCCGCCTAGGCCGCAGCTACATTTTCATCATTTTCGTGAGGAAGCCTCAGGTAATTCGATGTGATCAAGATCCGGTTGTTTTGTTCCCCCCCGCTTTCCCTTGCAAAAAACACTATAAAATGACATTTCTTGTTCTAATATAATCAAATTTCAAGAATCCCTTGCAAAAAATAAGGTAAAGT